CCTAAGGCGCCTATGACTATTGGTACTACCCTTGCTTGCTTTTGCCACAGTCTTTCTATTTCTTTTTGTAGGTCTTTGTATTTTGTTATCTTCTCCAGTTCTTTCTCGTCTATTCTGCTGTCTCCAGGCACTGCCATGTCCACTATCCAGACTTTTTTGTCTTTCTTATCGACAATTGTTAAGTCTGGGGTGTTATGTTGCAGTGCTTGTCTGTTTGAATTCTGAAGTCCCAGAGCAGTTTAATTTTATCATTTTCTATGACTTTCTCAATTTTATGATCCCACCAGTTTTTGCTTACAGGCAAATGATATTTTTTGCAGATCTTCCAATGCACCATTGTTGCTACTTTGTCATGCCGCTGCTTGTAATCAGTCTGTGCAATCTTCTTGCAACAGCTTACCAGGTAGTCCACTGTTTCTTCAGCTTCTTTGCATAGGCGGCATTTACTGTTTGTTGCTGTCGTCTCAATTTTGACTTTGTATGCATTTGTCCTTAAGGCTTGGTCTTGTGCAGCCAGAATTAGTCCCTCGGTCTCTTTCTTCAATTTCGAGCCTTTCCCAAGCTTTGAGAAGGGCGGTAGCTGGGTTGCCTAGGTGGGCTAGTTGAGTGTTCTCTACTAATCGTGTGGAACCTGGTCCCAGCCATGTTTTCATGTGTCCGAGCACTTCGTTATAGCTTCATCTTGGATAGCGGTTTGGAACGTGAGCTTCCACAATACGCAGTCCTTCCCCGGTTTATCGGGGAATTTGTGTACGCCCTTGGATGCCAGATCTAGTTTGCTTCTGTAAAGTCTCATAGGGGTGTAACTGGGTGGCCATGGTACATCGCTTCCAGGAGTAGGGGCGTGTGCGGTGTTTGGCTGGTAACTTCCTTTGGCGTATTGGTGGCTGGGTGTATTTTGCCATGTCACGTACAAGGGACCTTGTTGGCTTGGTCTGAACTCTGCTGCTCTGGCATTGAGCTGAGGGAGCCCAGGCTCTTGCTTGCTTACGTGTTGGAAGATCTGTGTTTCTGGTAGAGTGTAGCTAGCTTCCTGGTAGGCTGTCAGAGCTGATGCTCAAGGCTGTCCTCTGTAGTCAGGATTGGTGGCAGTTCCTTAGGATGCTGCCTCCTGTTGGTGCAGCAGGGACTCTAGTGACTCTAGTGTGGCTCTAACTCTTTCAACCTTGTCCCTGAGCGACGGCTGGTTCTGCTGTAGGGCCGTTGGCGCTACAGGTGGATCCATCCGATTGCCATTAGTGGTATGGTTTAGTGGGTTCTGTGGGGTAATGACGGTGGAAAGATCTTGTGGCACTCCCCGCTGTGCGATTGTTGTCGTTGCTGGGGTAATAATGGTGGAAAGATCTTGTGGCACTCCCTGCTGTGCAGTCATTGCCATTGCTGGTGATCCCATCGGGTTCGATGTGGCAACAACGGCGGGAGGATCTCGTGACCTAGGTGTCATGACATCAACTCTGCAGTTGACCAGCGAATGAGGTCGTTGAGATTCCTCTGTTCGTCTACTAGGTCTTGGGGGGCTTGTGGCTGGCTGTGGCGCTCTCATCTGTGCATTCTGGAATGCGCTTTGGTTGTCCATATAGGTCTGTACGCGGCTACAACGCTCTTCGTTTTCCAGTTGTTGTCTGTCTGGCAAGAAAGTGGTGTACTGGAGTATTTTCTGAAGGCCTTCCGCTCTAGCCATTTTGTCTGCCATAACTCTTTGGCTTTGAGTAAGTTCAAGTTCTTCTTGGGCGTCTTTTCTTTTGGCCTTCATTATTATTATTATTATTATTATTATTATTATTATTATTATTTCCCAGGTGAGGGAACCAGCATTGTCAGAAGATGCTTCAGTGATCATGTGGCCAAGACAACTATTTGCTGAGGCACACAGAACACTGTTATTTTCCCACCAAAGTGGTACCTGTTTATCTACTCACATTTGCATGCTTTCGAACTGCTAGATTAGCAGGAGCTGAGGCAAGGGCAGGAACTCACCCTGTCACACAGTGCTCGAGTCTTGAACTACCAATCTTCTGGTCAACAACCAGAAGGTTTTTGTCTTAACTGCTAGGCCACTGTAGCTTTCCCTAAATAAATAACCCCAACATTTGTGAATTTCAGCTCCCAGAATTCTCAGTAATTAAGAGTTCTGAAAGAGAAAACCCACATTCATTTGGAGACTGAAAGGCAATGCTGACTAAGGAATGTCTGTTTGATCACATTTTCTTTTAAAGAAGAACTAATATTAGAAAAGATGTAAAAACAACTTTAACAATAAAATATGAAAGAAAGCAATTTTGACAGGAGGTTTTGAATGTTTACCATTCTTGGCAGTTGAATTCTGAAATCTCTTAAGATTACAGAAAAGATCTTTTGAGCTCAAATCTCTAAAAAAAAAAAAAATGGTGGTCTTGAAAGATTTAGGCCATTTAGTATTTTCTGTACTTGCTGCATAGGAAATTGCAGGAATATAGAACAGTGATTGATACAACTATGCTGAGTTTCAAACGAGCACTTTGAATTAATGAATCTTCCACCTCTGCATTTGTTCAAAGCATGTCCAATTGTAGCAAAACATTAATGGTGCTGTGTAACTTTGATCCAAGATGATCAAAAGGGGCTTTGGTACATGGGAGCACATGTTCCACAGCCCCCTTTTCTTCAGAATATAGTGATGGGTCAAATCAAATACTCAAATAGAATAATCAGTAATCAGTAGAATGGCTTGCCTTCAGACATTATGGATGCTCCATCACTTGAGGCTTTTAAGAAGAGATATAGGGTCTCCTTCCTTCTCATTAGGTGGCCAAAGTACTTGAGTTTCAGCTTCAGGATCTGGCCTTCTAAAGAGCAGTCAGGGTTGATCTCCTTTAGGACTGACCTGTTTGATCGCCTTGCAGTACAAGGGACTCGCAGAAGTCTTCTCCAGCACCATAGTTGGCTCAATTCTTTTCCGCTCAGTCTTACTTATGGTCCAACTTTCACAGCCATACATTGCAACTGGGAAAACCATGGCCTTGATTATACACACTTTTGTTGGCAGGGTAATGACTTTGCTTTTTAATAATGCTGGGAAAGATTGAGGGCAATAGAAGAAGGAGACAACAGAGAATGAGGTGGCTGGATGGAATCACTGAAGCAGTAGGCGTGAGCTTAAATGGACTCCAGAAGATGGTAGAGGACAGGAAGGCTTGGAGGAATGTTGTCCATGGATTTGCAATGGGTCGGACACAACTTCGCAACTAACAACAACAAAATAGGGTCTCCTGCTTGAGCTGGGATTTAGACTAGAAGATCTCCAATGTCCTTTCCAATTCCTTGACTTACAACAGTTCGTTTAGTGGCCATTCAAACTTACAACAGCACTGACAAAAGTGACTTATGACCATTTTTCACACTTACAACCATTGCAACATCCTCCATGGTCCATGATCAAAATTTGAATGCTTGGCAACTGATTCATATTTATGATGGTTGCAGTGTTCCAGGATCATGTGATCCCCTTTTGCGAACTTCTGACAAGCAAACTCAATGAAGAAGCCAGATCCACTTAACAACTGTGTTACTAACTTAAGAACTGCAGTGATTCACTTATTAAGTGTGGTAAGAAAGGTCGTAAAATGGGGCAAAATTCACTTAATAAGTGACTCACTTAGCACCAGAAATTTTGGGCTCAATTGTGGTCGTAAATCGAGGACTACCTTATTCTCTTATTCTGTTAATCTGATTTTTTTCTAACTGAAATGCCACTGTGAATTGGATTACTCTGAGGTTCTGAGAATGTGATATTTCTAACCTGCTCATGGTGGCTGACATAGGAAAAAGCTGCCCACTTCTAGCTTAGCTTTTAAATGAATCCCTGAATGCTGGGGTAGCTTATAAAGCTGAATTAGATTGGTGGTAATTTCTCACTGACTGCTCATCTTTAAAACACTGGAAAGAACTCAGCTATTCTGTTCAGTTAGTGCAGTTGGCTAAGAATGTCAAGGTTTATTTATCTAGTGTTTTTCTTAAAAGCAACATGTTTCTTCATAAACAAGACAGAAAGAATCTGAGATTAAAACACTATGACTGTGGGAAGAAGTGAAACGGGTGTACTTCCTCACCCAGCAGTTTCTCTTATCACATGAGAAACTGTAATTTACTCCTCATATCTAGCAACACAGAGTACCGTCAGTTCATTTCCTCTGAATTCTTCATCTTGTTCACCACAATGTCTGTTCACACCTGCTGCTTATCAATTTGGGGTGGGGGGGGGACAACCAATCACATGTATATTAGCTTACATCTTTGCATTCTTTTCTAGCAGTCACACTTTTTTTTACATTTTTCCATAATAAACCACACCTGTGCATACTTTATGCATTCATGTCTGTCCATCTGTCCACCCGTTTATCTCTCTCCCGCATGTACATGTTTTGTGTGTATATTTTGAATTGTGCATTAAGTTGGCGTTTCTGAAGAGTATAGATTTTTGGCACTTTAAAAAAAAAACATTGGCAAACCCTGTGTATCTGTTGAAAAATGCCAATAATTGGGTTTTTCATTCTGCTCTATGCATCTCTTTTCTTCTCTACACATTAGAGAAACTCATTTTCCATACCAGTTAAAGTGCCTTTCAACAAATCTTTACTCCTCATCCTACTTCTTGAAATAAAGAAATCATTTTTAGTTTAATGTCAATTCATGAACCAAATGAAACTTTTAGAATTTAACTCAGCAGGGTCCTTCCTTCCTTCCTTCCTTCCTTCCTTCCTTCCTTCCTTCCTTCCTTCCTTCCTTCCTTCCTTCCTTCCTTTTAAATGGTTTCAGAAATAAAATATTTAGACAGTGCTTCTTCTGCTCTATGTGAATTGGAGGTTAAGCAGGGCAGGAACGTTTTAGCCCATAGGCGCAGCTCCTATAGCTGTTTGTTTGGACTGCTTGAAGGAATTCATCAGAGCTGTAAAGCGACGGTGGCGAAATTGTGGTTAAAAAAGAAAAAAAAAGGAAGGAATCACAGTTTATAAGTCATCAGATCAATCTCCCAGGGCAGCTCCCACGGGATCGATCTTCTTTATCCTGCAGCACATAAACCTCGCAGACCCGATCCCGAAGCACAGCCCCAGAAGCGACGCGGGTGATATATATATATAATTTTTTCGTATCCAGGCTTGTCATTTGGAACCGTGGCTGAGTGAGTCACTTAGGACCCCGGAGAGCTTCCAGCTAGTGCAGGAACAAAGGCTGGTGCCCACTGAGCATGTGCAAAACTGAGTCTGCTCTCTTAAGGCTCGGTTAGTTACTGATATAAACAGCTGGAGGTATTTGAGGGCTGAGTTTAGAGACCCAGCAGAGCCGTCAGAGTGGAGATACGGGAGGATTACAGCTTCTGTGCGTTTCCATCGGGCTGGCAGAAGAAGGATTAGTCAAGGGCACCCGAAGATCCGCTTTTCGACGCTGCATTCCAGTTTGGGGTTGTTTTTTCCTCGGGTTTGCCAGGGACGTTTCTCTCTGGTAGAATCGGAGTTTGGAATATTGTTTCCAAAGGTGAGTGTTTCCTTCCCTTCCTCCTGGCACATGGGGAAACCTTTGCACGTTCCCGTCCGCCACTGCTTGACTCGGGACTGGAGAACTTTTCCAGGGCTTTCTTCGCCACAATTGTTCAGCCTTAAGGGTTTGCGCGTCTTTTTAGAAGGAAGCATCTCTAAGGAAGGATGGAAACCGTCGGGGGCGCATTCCCATGTGGGAGACGGACACGACGGTCCCACGAAGGTTGCGGTTAGTGGATAAGGATTTCTCTCGCGCATGTAGGGCACCAAGGGAGGTTTGGAAGGACCCATTTGTATCTGGGTCTATTGCAGAAAGAGGTTGCCTGGGCAGGTTTTGAAAAAAAAAAAAGAAAACAGCAGGTAGACTCCACTTTCTCTTCCAAGCACCCTTCTTAATGCACAGATAGATTTTCTAGGACATCTATCGCTTTATGGGGCTCAATTGCTGGAGGGGGGGGTGTCTTCTGGCATTTTGGATGCTTTCAATGATCAGGCCTCTTTCAAGATGTATTGGGAACAGTGTCCTCTCGGGCTGGAGGGAGCTGTTTTTCCGAAATTGGTGTTATGCAAAGCTTCTTTTAGGGGTTCTCTCTTCAAGAGAAAAACTTATTCCTTCGTCCCTAAAAATCACATTGGCTTGCAGGGAAGTATTTTCATGCTGTTCCAAGGGAGATCCAAAGTGAGCGTTTATTATTGTTTTTAAAACTCCACTTATCTTAAATTTTATAAGAATTCTTTTGCAGCCTGGCTTCTCCTTTTTAATTTTGATATAAAAGACGATAGACACACATACACACCAAAGCTCAAGTTTATTTCTGTAAATATGTAGGGTTCAATCTTGTGCTAGAGTATATTTTTTACCCCGTAATCTGCAAATGTTTTGATTGACTCACAATAGACCATTGTAAGATTGCAGGAAGCAATCATATAGTTCTACTAGAAAGGAAGGAAGGAAGGAAGGAAGGAAGGAAGGAAGGAAGGAAGGAAGGAAGGAATTTTCCTCTTCCCCTTCAATCAGTCTCTGTTTCTCCAGGATAACAGTAATGTTCTTGAAAGTAATTGCAAGAATACGTTTCCTTCTCCAAACCTTTCTTTTCCAATTTAACATTGACTATGATGAACACCGATATCTCAGATTGTTGCTGATGATACTACTGATGACCAGCGCAGGTTCAGCTTGATACAGTTTCTCTACAATACCATGTTTATTGACTGCTTTTCACCCTCTCCCTGGGCATTTTTGTATAATTTCTTGCATTTCTAATGTGGCATCTGCCTTCCTTCCACCATTCTTCTTCACATATTCTCCATGATTGCCCTTTGCCACTTCTGTATCTATTGGTTGCCCTTTAAGTCATCAAGGCTTGCCAGTTCATATTAGCTTCTGATCCTCAGAACAAGGGAAAGAGTGCAAATGAGCCACTTATATCATTAAAAGGAGAGGTTGTTACCCAAGAGGAATTGAAATCAAATTGGGTTTCAGTAGTAGAAGTAGGTCCATCAATAACTATTTTTTCTTAAAGGCTCTAGGACATTAAGGATGTAAAACAAATAATTGCCTATTTCCTTTAGAACAGAAAAATACAGTCCAGCAGTACAGTCTGAGTCATAGCACGGCTGGCAGAAATACACAGAATGTCCTCAAAACTTTTATATAAAACTACATGTGTTTGAGAAAGAGGTAGGCACACATCCTTCCCCTTTGTGGGGGAAGGGGGGGGCGAGAGGAAGTCGGGTGAAGGAGTCATGATAGATGCATGAGTAAAAAAAACAGTTATGAATAAACTGCATAACAAGTTGGGTGTATATTAGGTAAGTTTGTGTACAAAGATATTTTGGGAAAATTGCATAGAAAAAGGTGATCTGATTTGATGTGCATTTATGAGATAGGGATTGGTACAAGGTACAGGTATAGATACAGGCGGAAAGATAGGACAAAATAATAAGTAAATATACAAAATCTAATCCAGAATGTATTTGCAAAAAACCCAACGCCTGTATAAGGTGTCAAGTGTCAAAGGGAGCATGCTCCTAACCAAATGTAATTTGCCAATAGGTAACAAGGTAAGCCTGTTCAAATGTTAACCTGTTATGTGACTTCTAGGAAATCTCTGACTTACAAGCATAAATATCAGATTGCTCCTATAACTAAACTGGGGGTATAATTGTCCAGAGCTCAGTTTCATTAACTGGATGCAGTATTCTAAGTGTGGTCTTACGAAGTACCGCTTTATAAAGCCTTAGTAAGACCACACTTAGAATTATTGCATCTAGTTTTGGTCACCATATTATAAAAAAGATGTAGACATTCTGGAAAGAGTGCAGAAAATAGCAACAAAGATGATTAGGGAGCTGGGGGCTAAAACATATGGAGAAGAGTTGTAGGAAATGGATATGGCTAGTCTAAAGAAAAGAATAGGGGTGACACGATAGCAGTGTTCCAAAATTCGAGGGGCTGCCACAAAGAAGAGGGGATCAACCTATTCTCCAAAGCACCAGAGGGCAGGACAAGATGCAATGGATGGAAGACATGAAAGAGAGATCCCAGACTAGAACTAAGGAAGAATTTCCTGACAGAACAATTAATCAGTGGAACAGTTTCAGAAATTGTGGGTGCTCCAACACTGGAGGCTTTTAAGAAGAGACTGGACAGCCACTTGTTTGGAATGGGAGTCTCCTACTTGAGCAGGAGATTGGACTAGAAGACCTCCAAGGTCCCTTCCATCTCTGTTATCCTATTATTCTGTTAAGTATCTATGGATGTTTGGGAGAGAATTCTCATCTTCAGTACAGCTTTGATTGCTTTATTGTCCTCTTTGGAAGCACTGCAAAGAGATCTCATGAACATGAGAAAACTTGACTGGATGTTCTTTGGTATAATCCATCTGGATGATGCCACTTAAATTCAAGAAATAAAATACTTAGTGTATGCATCTAAGCCTGTTTTTTTTAAAGTCCTTGCTACATGTATAATTCTGGCAAGAATAATCTCTTTTACCTGTCTGAGAAGTAGAGTGAAGAGAGAACTGAGTGACAAAGAGAAGAAAGACTCACAAAAGAGAAGAGGGAGAAAAAAGCAAGGACATCCACATTGAGAAGGCCAAAATCAGCAAAATGGTGGATGGAGCCAAGGCAGTGAAAGCTCCTCCCCCGTTAAATATGGACATTGGAAAAGAGTGGGGCTTGCACAGTGAAGTTCTGCCCACTTTTTTTTTTTTTTTTGATAATTTTGACCCTCCCAATATGACACTCCCAGATTTTGCTTGGGAAAGGAATGTTGACAAAAATTGAGAAAATCTATTACTCTTTTTTTTTTTTTTTTACTTTTGACTCTAGACTCAGCCTAGGCTCCACCCACCATTTGTGCCTGAGGGAATATACTCCTTGGGAAATATATATATTTTTTATTTTTTATTTTTTAAAAAGGTGATCTCTGTTCTATGTACTTGTTTTAAGATGGAAAAAATAAGACTCAAAAACATGTTTTTTTTTTTTTTTAAAAAAAACAAAGACAACTAGTAGATGGAAGCTTAGTTTGAGGCTTGAGGAGAGCAACAGGCTAGGTAGAATAATTCCAGTTTATTGCTGAGATTGTCTAAATGCTGTATGTTAATTGAGCTTGCTGGGTCCCTATAAGAGAGTGGGAGAAAATGAAACACAACTTTCCCACAAACACCTAAAAGTGCACTCATTGTTTCATTCAGTAGTAAATGGGATAGATCAGAAGCCCAATCAGCTGAACAGAGAGAAAGTGGATTACAGGTAGTCCTCGATTTACAACACCTCATTTAGTGATTGCTCAAAGTTACAATGGCACTGAAAAATGTGATTTATGACCGTTTTTTCAAAGTTACAACTTTTGCAGCATCCCCTGATCATGTGATCAAAATTTGGATGCTTGGGAACCGGTTCATATTTATGACTGTGGCTGTATCCCTTTTGTGATCACCTTTTGTGATCTTTTGACAGGCAAAGTCAATGGGGAAGCCAGATTCACTTAACAACTGTGTTCCTAACTTATCAACTGCGGTGATTCACTTAACAACTGTGGCGAGAAAGGTGGTAAAATGGGGCAAAACTCACTTAACAAATGTCTCACTTAACAACAGAAATTTTGGGCTCAATTGTGGTTGTAAGTTGAGAACTACCTGTATTTACCAGGCCTGCCTTCCACTCTTCTGGTTTAGTTTTCTCTCTTTGCAACCTGCATAGCCTTCTGCAACTTTCTACTAATTTTAATTCACTTGTATCTTTCCCCTTCTATGCTACTTATGTTCATAAAATACATTAAAATAAAACACATGCTGTTCCTACCCATCAGACAAAAGGAAACTTGACGCCAGTGTAATATGATTTCCTTAAGAAGAAAAAGACCTGGTCTTTTAAAGATGGGCATTTGGTTTCTTTGCCCGCTGCTAAAACACTATGTGTATTTCAATCATCTTTGGTCAGGAGAGCCAGCTTGGTGAAGTGATTAAAGATACCAGGCAAGAAATAGGAAGGCTATGAGTTCTAATCCTGTCTTAGACACAAACCCAGCTGGGTGACTCTAGGAAGAAATGGTGGGAAAATCACGTTCTGCCTAGAAAGCTGCAGAGATCTTTCCATGTAATCATCAGGTGTCAAGATTACAGCTTGCAACCAGGTCATTTAATGACTGTTCAAAGTTAAGATGGACTAAAAAAAAAAAAGCTATTGATGACCCATCCTTGAAGTTACAAGTGATGACCCCTTCCTATAGTCATATTATTATATTTTGGACACTTGGCTAACATTTATGACCAATTGCAGCATCTTGCGGACATGTAACTGCAGTTTGCAATTATTTGTTTTGCCAATTCCTGGCATTTTTTCATGGTTTCTGGCAAAACCCTGCCCATTCGGAAGAATGGATTCGCTTGATGACCAGATGGTTGGCTTAAGAACTGTGGTGACTTTTTCTGATATGATAAAAACAGTTGTAAAATGGAGTCCACTCGTGTGGTGCCTCAATTTATG